CACCCGCTCCTCGATCGCAGAAGACAACACTGTACGTCCCTGAGAAGCTGCCTACGTGTGCACACGTCCCTCTTCGCACACACGGTGTGCGACAGCCTCTTCAGTCACCGTACATAGGACCTTACAAAGTGCTGCACCGTGAGAGTAAGACTTACACTATTGACCGCGGTGGTCAACGCGAAGTCGTCACCATCGACCGTTCAAAACCCGCCTTTATGGAAGAAACCACCTCGCCTACTTCGTCTAGTGATGCTACTTGTGACGTCACAACTCACCGCAACAGCTTACAAAATCCTAGTGCATTTCAACCAGAACACGATCTCGATCTACAGGTTTCAGTCGTCCAGAGGTTTCCCGAATCTAGCCCGCCGCCCTCCACGACCAACAGCCGTTCTGGCGCCGGGTGTGGTGGGGCGGGAGGAGAAACCACTCCCAAGCGCACCGTTTGGCAGTAGCGAAGGTTGTGGTCCTGTCGGCCTTTATCTAGGCTAGCTAATTTTTTAGTCCGACAAGCCCGCTTCAACGGCTTGTCGAAATGCACCCTGCCTGCAATCACTAAAAAATAAATCACATACGCCAAAGCAGACCCCGACTTCCGGCAAACCCAAAAAGATAACAGTTATTTATTATGTACTATTTAATTGTTGACTAATTGTATATTATTCTTTCTTGTTTTAATATTCCTTACAACAGGCTCGACACTCGACGGCCTTGTACGTTCCCGCGCTGGCGTGTACCTCCTGCATTGCTTTTTCCGTCAGTGTCTTCTTTTGGCTCATCGAATACAGTCCGCCGTGTCCGACTCCGATTGCCTCCTGCTATCAGCGCTTACTTTCGCGCACCGTCTCAGACTAGTATTTACCAGTACTACAAAATGCGAGCGTGGATTGTTTACTTTCAGAATTGTAACCATGTTGTTAACCATTTGCTCAAATGTTTCCGTCAACAATTTACACTTTTTCTTAGCACAACTTTACAGACAACAACCGGAATGGATCTGCACAACTGGCAGAACAGTAACGCATTAATTATGCTTTTGTGCTACCTCTTTCGAGGGGAGTTAGAGCTCAAGGCAATTGCGGTGAAACACCTTAGAGCATATAAGGCACCTTATCCTGCTATGAAGGATTTAATGCATAATTAACTTTTACCGTCGAGATGCTTCGCGTTTATTGTTTAGACGTAATTTGGGGGGTTAATGTAATTTGTAAGGTCCATTAAAAGTCCAAATTTTCCAGCTTATATCGGTGGCGGGATAGAGCACCTAACTGCTGTAACTGATAAAAGCAGACCGGACACTTTGTGGTGTCGATGGATATCTGCTCTGCCCGGGCCGAATCCTATTTCCGAAGCTGAATGCAAGTGCTACGCTGGCTAGCTGAGCAATATCCTCATGGTGCTAGCTGGGTGCGTCAGGTCAATCCCGAGCAGGCGTATGGCTGGCAGGCAGTGTCCCAAGACGTGGTGAGTCACAACCCGGCGAGCGTTCCCTCTATACAAGGTCGCAAATATCTGTTTTGCAACACTGAGACTTAGCGAATGTGACTAGTCCTTCCGCTTGCGCATCTGGATACGTTTACCCAATCAAAGGACATCAGGCGTCCAATAAATACATAAAACAGTAACGGGTCATTCTCTTCAGCTTGAAACACACTGGTACAGCCTTGATCAAATAGAAGCAACAGGTAGAATCGCATTGCAATACTACAGGTGACTGAAATCAGTTGACCGGGACATTTCTCGAAGTTTTTATTTAATGGTAAGTTCCCTGATAACACTGAGAACTTCATGCAAACCCGATTGTACATAGCGCTGCCAATGAACCTATGACCAATTGCTTACAGTCCAAAATGTGTCGATCACATGGAGACTAATGATACGTCCTGACATAGCAGCTAAGAAAATTGCTGAGGTGTACGAACAAATTGTTCTGTCGGAGTTGGATAATCGTCATTACGGATGTCAAGCGGCACAAATGCTGATAGTTTCATTGCAACTAATGATTGAGTAAGTTGCGCAGGTTGTTTTATTCTTGAATCGATTGTCAACCAGGGTATTCGTAGGCACGTGTCCCCCCTTTCTTTTCGTTCCCCATAGGTCATTAACGTAAGCGGTCGAAAGTATGGAGCTGGTGTTGTTGGTGTTAGAAATTGGGGCTAACTTCAGAAGTAGTGGTTGAATCCATGCCTTTGAGTCCAAGCATAGTTCCCTATGGTAATTGACTGAGCGTTTTGAATCCTCTGATACACCGGTGAGTGGTTTACATCTTCAGAGGGTATGGTGGAGCTAGGCGGATTGCGAGCTTACTCTGAAGCATGCTGTGAATTCCGTTGAGTGCTTGAGGGTGGGACCTCAAACTTGGTCGCACAACAACTAGTTTTGGTCGGCGACCGGATTGCAGCTTTAGTAGAGTCGGGCTGTCATTGGTCTAATGCGGCAAGCTTCGGAGAGCTGTTGTAGGCAGTCCGGTCGATAAGCAGCAGACTTATAAAATCAAACAACACAGCCACACACATTCATAAATTAATAGATTCGCATACGGTGATCGCATAGATCCATGTGCTATCGATAAAATTTTACGGTTATGTACACTTACCAGTCTTTAGTGTTTGTATCACCATGAGCATACACGGGCAGACGTGTCCCGCATTGTCGAGCATAAAGCATTTCTTCATTTTGAATATAAATATGAATTCTGCTAATGCATCCTTTAGAAACGGCGTAGTGTATAAGCTTGGTATCGTTGTAGAGCTGCATGACTCAAGCATAGAAATTGGTTTCGTGTATGTACGTCTAAGCAAAAGAGCCGTTAAAACAGCTGGTGTTGCTGGAACCATGAATTGTAACATGCAATCCGCGCATATTTGTACAGCAACTAGCGTTAGCGAATTTGATTCAAATTAGCGTCTGGAAGATGTCGGGACGGCTAATGCTTGCAGCCGGTGATCGTGGTCTGGTTCGACAATCTTAGGATGTTAAAAATCGGTACGGTTAGTTGTTATGCCGCATGCTGCATTGTTAAACGATGAAGGCGAGCTACTTTCCTTCTTAAAATTGTGGTTCATACTACCGACGATGACGACGTCGCATCGGATACCGCGGCGATCGTAAACATCTTATTTGTTCGGTTGATTAGTTTGAAGGGTCAGATGCACGGGGACTGCAGAGGCTGTTAAACAGCCTCTACGCGAAGTATCACGCTTGGGCAAACAGACGAATTTCCGGGCAAGTACACCGGTGTCTTCTGTCACCGTGAAGCGGGTGAGCGCAGTTCACGCTTCTTGTGAGCCAACCGATCGGTATAACAGCCATAGTCGAAGAAGAAGGTGGACATAGCTAGTGCTGCTAGTTGTCCGAGCAACTGCAGCGTGTAGCCATAGAATACTTGCGCTGGTTTTGCGTCGGAACAATAAATAACTGGTTATTCTCGACTATGCGTGGCACGCCCATGGAGGCATGATAAGGTAGGTGTAACTGTATGCACGTTTTGTGGCAATTGTAACAGCGGCAGTAGCAAAGCGGCTAGCCGTTCACGATTGAAACTGTACTAATGGTACAAATGTAAACGTAATAATTAGTTTGTGGTGAGGTCGGGGTGCGTTTGTGAGGACATAATCAGTCTGACATATTGTAGTAATACATCAGCCAAGAATAGCTCAAGAATTTCGGATGATCGATTAGAAGATAATGGAAGAGCATGGTCGACAGAGATGTGACGAGATACTAGGATCGTGTGTATGAATCGCAAAGAGCAACGGTGAACTCCTAGAAAAAGTGACGACAGTATATGCCGGTGTAAAGTTTCAGTGTAACGAACGTTTCAAGAATGACGAAATGTGACGCTTGTTGACTTCCCAGTTTGAAATCATGGCCTGTGACCTTATTCGCTGGAGAATCACATCCGCCAAATCACAGTGTTGTTAAACGAACATTTGTCGTTTTTTATAGGGAGAGAGCTTGCTAAGCGAAGATCTACCACGTCCTGGAATGCTGCCACCAATTCATTGAATGGCAAATTGGAACGGGTTATGCTACATGTTGGGTTATTATTTGCTCGGTTATTCGCAGTCAAATTGCGTCCAACATTTCCCTTGACTGACGTATGTTAGGCGGGTCCCATTTTCGACCCTGGGTCCTGCACGGTCCTCACCGAATGGCTGGGCTCGCTTGTAGGTAGGTCATGGGTTGAATATTTTTTAAGCTGACCTGTTGTCGTCTGTAGAACCACGTAAAGTCTCCGGAGGATACCTTGTAGCGACCTGGAGATTCCCCCGTATGACTGTGTAAACTATTCTAAAATATTAAAATTATAGCTTTCTTATGTATTAGGGAAGTATTCGGTTTGCCTGTTGGAACGTTGTTCCCGTTTGTTGAAAACACGAACACGATCTCCGCCTTTGGCGCGCGGCTCGACTGCGAACGACGCTCCGTCTACGCTCTCGACGCCAACGACATTCTCCCTAGCTAGCTCTCTCCGGGTGCCCTATTTTTAGCATTAGCTAACGCTCCTCCCGTCCAATAAACTTCTTCCCTAGTTTACTTTTGTGTCTTCTACCCACTACTTTTGGTTGGCCGTCTAGTCGCGTACCGGATATATAGCGCACGATCTACGCGCTATAATTGGTGACCCCGAAAAAAACTATTTTGGTGAGTTCGGTACTAATATTACTTTTCAGATCCGGTAAATTATTCTGTCTACCCTTCTACTTTTACTTTTTAATACTTGCATTCACTTTCACACGCTCCGTAATTTTTCACCATGAAGGTTATTCACTCACCTGACGATCAGGTTAGTGCGTTCCGTTTTCCTATCCCGCCTTTCCGTGATACTAACCCTAAGGCCTGGTTTAACCAGCTAGAGTCCATTTTTTCGTTACATGGCGTTAACTCTGACAGCGTCAAATTTCACTGCGTTGTCGCCGCGCTTCCCCCGCAAGTCGTCGATGACCTCGACGACATCTTGGAACTTCCGGAACATCAGAAAAGTTACGATGAGCTTAAGGCCGTCGTCTTAAAGCGATTTGGCATATCAGACCATGCTCGCGTCACGCAGCTTCTTAACGAAACCGAGCTTGGGGATCGAAAGCCTTCGCAGTTGCTGCACAAGATGCAAGCTCTAGCTAAGCCTCTCGCTGTTGGCGACTCTTTCCTTAAAGAGATGTGGCTTCGTTGCCTGCCACGTGACATGCGCAATCCCTTGTATGCAAACGATGCGCCTCTTCCTCAGCTCGCAGATATTGCCGACCGTATTTGGGAATCCAACGCCCAAATATCTCAGGTTCAGTCTACCTCCAGTACAGAGGTAGCAGAACTAAGAGCGCAAGTAGCCGCATTGACCAACCGACTAGAGAAGCTAACACAATCCGGATCCAACCGCCGAAATCGTTCCAGTAGTCGCAGTCCTCCTAGATCACATTCGAAATCTCCCCCTAGGTCAAGCTATTGCTGGTATCACGAGCGATTTGGTCATCAGGCCAGATCGTGTCGCCCGCCTTGTTCCTTCAAGCGCAACATGCAGGGAAACGGGTAGGCCAGCACGTAGGGGCGACGGACGTTGCTGGCTGCCCCAGTCGCCTTTTCTTTGTCACCGATCGCAGTACGGGAGTACGCTATCTCGTTGACACCGGCGCAGAAGTCAGCGTTATCCCACGTGATTCTAATGATATCGAAGAGGCGACCGGTTCATTGCGCGCAGCAAACGGCACCACCATTCGCGTGTATGGTCAACGCTCGCGCACGCTTAATTTAAACCTACGACGTTCATTTAAATGGATCTTTCTCGTCGCAGATGTCCAGACGCCAATTCTTGGCCTTGACTTTCTGCAGCATTTCGATTTACTTGTTGACGCGAAGCAACGCCGTCTGATCGATCGTCAAACAAACCTGGCAGTTATAGGTACTTTGACCGACATAGAGTCAATCAGTCCTGTATACGCCAACCTGTCAAGCTCGCCTATCGGTCAGATGCTTAATACCAAGTTCCCGCAAGTCTTTCGTGCAATGGCACCGTTTTCATCCGCCACTGATGCTGCGAAACATCACATCGTTACGAAAGGTCCGCCTGTTTTTGCCAAAGCCAGGCGAATGACCCCTGACAAGTTGAAAATTGCTCGCGCAGAATTCGAGCACATGCTTGAACTAGGCATCGTTCGCCCGTCTAAAAGTCCCTGGGCGTCGCCGCTCCACATGGTGCCCAAAAAGTCAGGAGACTGGCGTCCATGTGGTGATTACCGCGCGCTCAATAACGTTACTGTTCCCGACCGATATCCGATTCCTCACATTCAGGACATCACGGCAAGCCTGCGCGGCACCCGTGTGTTCTCGAAAATCGATCTGGTTCGCGCGTATCACCAGATTCCAGTCGCTGAGGAAGACATCCCGAAGACTGCTGTAATCACGCCGTTCGGGCTGTTCGAATTTTTGCGTATGCCGTTCGGTCTGCGCAACGCAGCCCAGACTTTTCAACGACTCATCGATTCAGTCACTAGAGGTCTAAATTTCGTCTATGCATACATCGACGATATCCTAGTTGCCAGCGCGTCTAAAGAACAGCACGCAGAACATCTCAAAATACTTTTCGATAGGCTGGCCGCTAATAGCATCACTGTCAACCCTGACAAATGCGTATTTCAGCAGCCTTCCGTCGAATTCCTTGGCCACCATATTGATCAGTATGGTATACGGCCTCTAGACGATAGAGTCCGCGCCATCAGAGACTTTCCGGTTCCGACTACGTTAGCCGCTATTCGCCGTTTTAACGGCATGCTCAACTACTATCGACGTTTTCTTCCACACTGTGCCAATTTGCTAAGTCCACTAACCGACCTACTTCGTGGACGTAAAAACGGTCAGGTGGAACTGACTGCCGCTGCTGCTGAAGCTTTTAAAGCCAGCAAAGAAGCCTTAGCCAAAGCCGTTATGCTTCATCATTTCGATCCGAATGCTCCGCTCAGTGTTGCTGTTGACGCATCAGACACCGCCATTGGCGCCGTCCTACAGCAACATACAAATGGGGGCTGGAAACCTCTTGCATTCTACTCTAGACGCCTACAACCCGCCGAAGTCAAGTACAGCACGTTCAGTCGCGAACTGCTGGCCGTTTACTCTACAGTTCGACATTTCCGACACGTCCTCGAAGGTAACACCTTCATTATCTTCACCGATCACAAGCCGCTTACCTACGCATTCCGAAATCAATCAGCTCGACACTCACCACGTGAGATTCGTCAGCTGGATTTCATCGCCCAATTCTCGACTGATATCCGACACATTTCTGGCCAACAAAACGTCGTCGCTGATGCTCTTTCAAGAGTATCTGCGATTGGTCCTGCCGGGCAGGCAATCGATTTGTCTGCTATGGCCGCCGCGCAATCAAACGACCAAACCTTTTCGGAACTTCGCGATTCTTCTTTGAAAATATCCCCGCACCCTTTGCCGTCATCTGATGGTACCATTTTATGTGACACATCTACCGGACGACCTCGACCAGGCGTTCCAGAAACTTTTCGCCGTATCGTTTTTGACATGTATTTTTTTGTTAATTGGTATTTTTCTACTGAAGCACGCAGCTTTATTTTCTCTTTTAACAAATTATTTCTATTTTTGTTCGCAGTTATCGGAATTGTTTTCAACTTTTCGTATGCCTTATAATCCCTTCACTCATTTCTTCCATGTGCTCACAATTGGGGCAAATGAGTGGCTAATTAATGTGCGATCAATTTAAAGTGCACTTTCGGCGAATTGGATTCTGTTCCAAGGAGAAAAGGCACAATTACACCTCCGCGAAGTTTTCACAAAAGAACAAGGAGTTCAATATCGCCCACAGGAACCAGAAACATGTCAAGGTGGGCGCCTGCGACCCAGTAGCTGTATATCAAACAACGCCAATGCATTTGTAATTGCTGACGATGAACATATACTTATATTTTACCTACTTCCATGCAAGAGCATCGGATTTATGCAAGCATTGATCTGAACCCTTTAGGGTGCAGCCTCTAGCAGGTCTAGAAATATACCTATTTATTTATTTATACTTTAAATCTCGTGAGAACGGGACGACAGCTAATTACAAGGGTTTCTGAATACTTTGAATGATCCGTAAATCGTTCGGAATCTTAACCAAAGAAATGGTTGTTGTATCATTCTCTGCCTTCATTAGACCACACGGTGTGCTGGCGTTGTCCCCATGCTTGGTCCTCGGAAAGACGGCGTTCGAGCGACTCCTGATAATTAGTACGACTATGAGGCATGCTAACGCAGCTCGCGCCTTTTTACCATTTTCTCAGGGAGGAAACGATTTTAGTGTAGGCTTGGTTCCTTCGAAGCGGCCGGTTTCTTAAATCTGCTCTAAGTTGGCCAGTAGAATAGCGGTAACAGCTTGTATGATAACCTTGCGGCGAGGGTTCTAATCCACGCAGCTGAGGCATCGGGACAGTTTGGTTGCACAACGGCAAGATCACTGGAAATTGAACTGCATCGTCTTCTGAACTACAGCATAGCGACTACTCCATAAAACATCGTTTGCAATAAAAGTACAATTTTGTGATATTTCACTATAGACTTTGTTATCCATTTTTTAAAGAACGTATAACAAAAAGTTTAAGGTATCAAGGACCGTGGTTTATTCTACATAATCGTGAGAGAAAAATTAATGCTCTTACTTTTCAGCTAAACAGATATTAATAAACGGGGGACCTGGACTTTCACATCTGGCGGGAACGCATTTGTGGGCAAAGGTCAACCGGAACAGCTGAGAGTATAATGGCAGCGTGGGGTATTAATATGTAGTTAATTAATTGGTAAATAGTATAAATAAATATGTAGCGGATGAATAAAGGAAACAGTGTCCTGTAGCTTATATAGTGCTGTAGTTTACTGTAACTTTGGTAACTGGTCCCCGGATTTTCCAAATGCATTAATGAGTCTAAAGTAGACCTATGTTTTTGGAGAAGTAAATAGTGCCTTTCATCAAGCTGAAAATGAAGGAACACCCTTTTAAGGGAGTATATGATGAGTAATACACGTAAAGTGAATGGGAAAGGCCTATTATGCTTACTTCACATGGTCCTATGTGAATTCGAGTTTTGCTTAACTCCTAGGCAGCAATGTTGCGTGATCCGGGAAAAAGGTGGGGAAGCACGGAACTGGCTGTGAGAATAATATGTAAATAACTGGGTAAACGGACGTGGCACAAATAGACTAATAACCCTGCGATATACGCATTTATATATACATAAGGGACGTGTCACGGAATGCGCAGGTGTAAAGTAAAAGGAACGCGCAGGCGGCAGTTGCATGTCTGAGTGCCTGGAGAACAGTAATTTAAGCAAACTAAGGTGAATGGAAAGGCGAAATGCATGTCGGTCTCTGGTCAATGTGTGGTGCGTTATTGCTCGCTGCGACGGAATGAGATGTCATGGGGTGCATAAATACCTGACGAAACATGCTATAAATATGTATGCATATGAGATTGAGGTTAATAATGCGTACATTTATGTACACATAATGCTGCATGTTAGTGAATGCATATATTGATTTACAAATATATGCATTTCTAATTTTGCAAAGTTAACATGATAAGAAATGGAATTGCTCCTCCTTCAATCTATCCATGCTTATATCCTTATATAGGAAGACATTTGTACACCTATTATGGTAGCACTGATAATCAGCATTATGCAATGTAACAGGGCGACCCGTTATTAGTCCCCGCTGAGATTGCCCAATGCAATTCCCCGTAACTGGACGTCAGTGGACCAAAGTATATGTTCTTTTTATTTCAGAGATATAGTTGACGTTTTCATATGTAATTGCATAAATAACTCATTATATGCCTGCCAGTTTTCATGGATTTTAACCAGTAGCTGTAATTGTTCCTCCCAGACTATCTGGCGTAGGATAGGATGATTACTCATTTCAGGAATAACGCAATACGGTTATTATGAACAATAGTAAATGGAAGTTTAGCAGGTGCGGTATATGCCGAAGTTATATGAAGCAGAACGAAAAATAGGATGGCAACCGAATAAAGAATGAAAGCATGTCTGCATACAAGTATCCCACATATATAAATAAATAAATATTTTATTCTCGACTATGCGAGACACGCCCATGGAGGCATGATCAGATATGTACAACTGTACAAACATTTTATGGCAACTGTAACAGTGAGAGTAGAAAATCGTTCATATGTCCATGATTGGAACAGTACAATAAATAAATAAATAGTTTATTCTCAGTTTCATAGAGACACACCAACTCAGGCATGATCAAGGTTTAAAAACAGATGTGTATCACGACGATACATCGGGTTCAATCGTGTGTAGTTGAAACGGTGTCGGGAAGAGTTGATATGTGAGTCTAGTCGACTTGCCAGTATGTAGTTGTGGGCAGTGACTTTATTCAGTGGCGAGTCACATCCGCCACGTCGCAGTGTTGTTAAACAGACATTTGTGGCTTTTTATAGGGAGAACGCTTGCCAGGCGAAAACCCACCACGTCCTGCAACACTGCCGTAAAGCATTTTGAACATTAATGTTGAACTGGCAAAGCCGCTTGACGACTGGTTTTACCTTCGGTTTTTCGCAGAGTAATGGCTTCTAATTTCCTCTGTTAGTTGGACAGGTAATTTGATCGGGGTCGCCATGATTTTTGAGGTCGGTGGAGGAGAGGGACATCGCGATTATTCTTCTTGTTGTATGTCCAGGTGAGCAAAAGTTCAACTTTCCGCTGTCCAGATTTTTCAGATGTATAATGTTTGGGAGTATGAGGATATGTCCAGTTCTCCATACTGGACAAGGGTTATGGTGATTGTAGTTCGGTCCTTTCGGAGTTCTACCATGCTCCATGTAAGTCCTTGTGGGTTGTTACGTCCGTCTTGGGCCAAAACTGTTCCTCAGTCCAATCCCAGATCTCCAAGAAGTCCCGGACCTCAGAGAAAAGGGAAAGTGAGGGACAACCGAGAGAAGACCGCAAGAACAGGCATGG